CGGAGAGAGCCAGTCTGCTCGGTCTTAATGATGTTGATGAGCACCGCGAGAAGGTGGGAATATTCGAGGTAAGGGTCAATAACGTAGCCAGAATTGCTGGCCAATTGGCCTAGAGTTCTCAAAGCCGCCTCTCGCTTGGCATGGGAAGAAAGATCCTGTAACGCATCCAGGATAATTGGCATCAGCTGTGGCAGGTATGTCTTCATTTCAGTTCCGCCAACGTTTGCAAGTTCACCGACAGCCCTTAGCGTAGTTGAGGCAACACCGGGATTTGAATCGGTTGCCTTTGGAAGCAGTGTGGTCACCATAGGATCAACGTAGGATCTGATAAGTTTCGTTGCATTCGAAACAAACAGGCTGATAAGTTGAGCACTTTCTTCCTTTTGACGCGCAGTGCTTGCGAAACCAAGGCTAGTCAGGAGGTTAACAAGGAGTTTGCGCAGCGGAGGGAACACATAGGCCGGGTTGACACTTGAGAGGCGACCGATGATGCAGATCGCAGCCTCCCTGACGGGGAATACTTCATCATTGACTGCCAAAAAAAGACATCGTATGTTTTCCGGCCTTGCCAGGTGCCGATCAAACTTCCGATCTAACGACCACAGAACTGTACGCCGGATCTCAGGGTCGGGATCCCCGACACCGACTGTCAGGAGCTTATCGATAACTTCACTGACGACTTGAATTGAATGGCTGCTTGTCTGGTTGATAATCGGGTCGTGGACAAACAGCTGGCAGCAAGTAAGCGCCGAAGCCTTTCGGATCTCAGGATTGTCATTCTCGACATAATTAATTGCCACGTCACGGACAAACTCATTGAGTATATGGCCCGAGAAGTCGAAACTACCTAACGTGTGCAGTGCAAGCGCAATTTCTGCGTCGGAGTGCAGCTCCTGAGGAGCGAAGTCTCTAGCAAATGAAGGCATCGGAGGCAGCCTGCTCTCCGGACATCCCAAGGGCCGAAATGGGGTCCCATAGAGGATTAAGCTTAGCATATCCAGCAACTTCTCTTGAATTGTGGGCTTAATGGGCGGAATATAGTGAGCCATGTCGACCAGCGCTTGTGTAAGAGACTCGCTTAGCCCGCATGCGAATATGGGATCAAGCAAAGCTTCCATATATTTGCTAAGCGCCTGTCCTACAGCCAACGACAGCATGCTGATACACTCAAACATCGGTGCTTCCTTGACAGCAGCGCGATTCCGTCTGCTGTATGTTAGCCATTATGCAAGCACGTCCACGGAGAGTAAAGGTTCTTCTTACGCTTTCATTGCAAGGCCCTCCCTGATGTAAACGATGATGCCATCAAGATATTGTGCAATAGCGACACCAACGGCATTTGCAATCTTTCCAATAGCGATGAATGCGGAGTTTCGCTCTTTATCTCTCTTGAGCTGCGCCTGGAGATAAATCATGAATCTATGGAGATACGTCTCTGTGAAGTCGAGTGGGGCGTAAGAGGCGAGAATTGGGATCGTCAGGACGATTTGGGTGCGAATCTTCGGATCACGATGGTCCTTCAGACGGAGGACTATCTCACAGGCGTTCCGGTAATGCTCGTTCATGAACATAGCGCCCTTCAAAAGAAGCTCCTTCAACACCAAAAGCGAGCCGTGTATCCAATCCACGTTGCTCGATTTGAGGCCTAGAAGCGCTTCCTCGTATATTCTCGCAAACCACAACTGTCGCACCTGCATGTCTCTAGCGGCGATGATTTCGAAACATTCACTAACCGCCTCCGCTGCAGTTTCCCGTATGAGGACCTTGGGGTCTCGCAAAGCGACCCATATGAGCTCGAAGATCTGCGAAACGAAGCCGTAAAGAAGCGTTGGCGAGCCCTTGGCGAGCTCCCGAATAACGAGCACAGCAGCAAATCGGCGGCTCTCTTGTCTTTCCGACTGAAGAGCTTCTAGGGCAGATTGTATTTCGCTCTCCACCAGCTCCGCGGTGAGAGCTCCGCCCGGCTTAGCCAAGCGGCCAAGAGCCCTGGCCGCATATACCAATACCGCATTGTCGTTGCTGCGGAGGGCGTTGCGCAGATAACTAGCAAACCGAGTCGTCTTTTGTGCGGCGTCCACTCCATCAAAGTCTATCAGGCGGTCGAGGGCTAGCAGGCCACCGATCTTTTCATGTGCGTCATTTCCGGTCACCACCAGTTGTGCTATGCGCTGGCTAACCGCATTGAAAAACTCAAGGAACCTCTCGGGAGACCAATCTGGAATAAAGACGAAGGATCAGCGCCAGCCATTATGTAGTCCAAAGCGACAAATTACCTCGAGAGATAGCAACAACGTTGTCATAGAGCTCGTAAGCAGCTCGCACCCGTGTCTCCTCGTTCTTAGACTTCAACTCGGTGAAGAGCCGTTGAGTAACGTCCGTGATAGGACCTGCTTGCGCCATTTTTGCGAACCACACCCCAGGGTGGACATTTGAAGTCAACCTCTAGGGCATGTATGATGACACAAAGTGAGCATGGGCAAGAAAGCCGTTGGCGGGCGGCGTTGAGCGATGCGGGAGGTGAGGTCGAGGGCGTTCGGAAATCGTGCACGGACCAACCGTATCTGGCCTGGGGCATCCGAATGTGGCGGCTGGGTTCCAAGGTCGGGTGAGGTGTTTCCTGCCTCCCACCTATACATTCACCGTCGCTGGTGATTATTTTTGCTGGTTTTATAATTGGTTGCTGGTGTCTTTTCAGTAGACTATTCCCTTCGTACTTTTGGCACTCCTTTCTAGGAGGTGACCAGCTCTATCGCCGATACGGCCCGACTGCAAGTACAGCTTCTCTCACATTCCTGTCCCCCCATAAAAGGTCCTATATCTCCATCCTTGCATAAGCGGAGGTCTTCTGATGCCTGAAATCTGTGCCCTATCTATATGTCATGGGACTCTCAAACGTGAGACAATGCAGATCTTAAGCCACAAGCATACCCTATAGCTAGCATTGGCCTCATGGGGTCGCGCGCCCGGGTATCACTTCCTGGCTTCGGCATGTTTACGCTACAAGCGTAAGCAGAGAGTCGTCTGCGCGCATGAATCGCAGGCCTTGGGACACTCTGTACTCCGTAGGTAAGTACTATTTTCTTACGGAGTAGGCTCCGCTCTCTGTCGAAGGATTTGCTTTTTGTACAGGGTTCGTGGAACCTTCTCTTGTCCTCGGCGCTCATGCGCTCGTGTCTTGCAGACACGACCTTCAATACCTGCCAAACTATGCTGGAAGTGTCAACATTCAAGTAGGTGTTCATTATTGACATCGTCATCATCTATGGTGGCTGTTCCTGTTGGCTGTACTGCTGTCAAAGAGTCGCACTGTCCTGCTGTGGGGTTTCCAGCTTCAGAAAAAGAGGTATAGATCACCTATTGGGTTGTTGTCAGTCGACAGGTTTAGTCTCCGAGGTCACTTGAAAAGCACATCGGCTCGAAAGGGTGTAACAATAGCCTAGCGCGCTTCTAGAAGCCTGGTCTATCTCTACATAAGCGCTACTAGACTACAGTCCTTCGGGAGCATATGAAAAAAACATAAGCGAAGAATCAGCTGAATTCAAAGCTTGCAGCTTACCATTAATAACAGGCCTAATGACGCATGCTTATCGGTAGGCTATCATGAAGTGAGCTATACACAGGCCGCCTGGACCCAAAAAATGTGTAGCCGGTACAATGAAGATTATATGTATCCCATTGGCTTGAGTACCATTCACAGCAAGTCGCATCAATTCAGCTCTGATTTCGGTCACGGCGACATCAAATGATAGATCACGCAAGAGGCGACAAAACAAACAGACAGCTTGAGCAGTACTAGGATTTAGGCTGGAAAAACTTTGCCATTCGGACCTTTGCTCTATAAATACTTAAGAGCTGGGCGTCGGAATAACCGAGTAATTAGAGTTACCTCAAGTCATATGGTAGCCAGACCCGATCAACATCTGGAAAACTCTATCTATAGATAACACAATACTATTTAGCCTGGTGTGATTGCAGTCTTGCGGGACATTTGGCATTTTCATCCTTTTATCGCCAAAGGGGACTCAAGCATTATACTTACAATTCTCGATTTAGGCCGCAGAAATCCGAACCAATGAAGAGACCCATTCGCCAATGTCCGAGCGTAAGGTAAGTCTAGTCTAGTGGAGCACGTTGATATTGAGCATTTTTATACCTTCAAAGTACAGGAAGTTGGCAGACGCATGATGAGAGTGTGACCGAGGAAGTAAGTACTCCAACTGGAATCGACTAGGTTTATTCTGGATACCTAGGTTAATTGAGGAAGATGCAGGAGTTAGCAATTGGATCTGCAATGAAGCGCTGCCTCCCGCATGCTACCCTGCGTCAGTAGCTCTGGAATCTCTAGCTTCTAAATATGCGACATGCTCTAACCGTCTATTTTACATGTATTGGACCCCTGACAACAGCAGCAGTTGATAAGTTGAAGACACTGGATGGTGTGATTGTTGCTGAGAATCAGGGATCCATCTTCCTCATACTATGAATGTCCCTGTGAGCTGGTTCAGTGCCAGGCTTCTCTCCATAACCATGCAACCCAGCCCGTGCTTACCATCGCGACCTTCCGTCTCGTCACAGGTCCTGACCACCTTCAGTGGGGCAAACCACCAAGGGTACCTTAGCTTAGCGAATAAGCACACGCTCGGACTTCAGTGCGCTACATGCATGATCCACAGTGCCGAGTAATCCAGCGCACAGTAGTCAGTGTTTACCGGAAATAACGACAATAGCCATCTGAATGACTTCATTTTTCCGGAGTTAGTCGTATAAGTCCAGTGCCATAATTCCGCTCCATTGGGATTTGTAATCGGGGCGGGCGCCTATCACAGCCCCACGATAGTGAGAAGGGTGGACCTCAGTGGGGAGATGGGCCCAGATTGAAGAGGGGTAACAGTTCGGAGTATCTAGGTATAAATGGCAAGGCAGCTCATCCTTGTTTCCTGGGAGACAAAGAACGAGACGCTTGAATACTAGCTTCAATTGACAACCGGATTACAGCAACCATGGGCAAGGTTCTTTTGACTGGTATGAATCTTAGCTCTAACCTCCACAAGATGAGTGTTCATCATGAAGCTGACAACACTCAACAGGAGGCAGTGGCTTCATTGCTGCTCACATCATTGATATCCTACTCGAGCATGGGTATGTTATCAATGTCTCACCATGCTCTTAACAACGTCACTGACCGGCTACACCAGATTTGACACTGTAGTCACAGTCAGGTCCGAGGAAAAGGGCCAAAGAATTCTTGATGCCCATCCCGACACACCAAAGGAAAAGCTTTCCTATGTCATTGTCAAGGATGTCGCGGCAGAAGGAGCATTTGATGAGGTATGGTTTCTCGTGCCATCAGCTTCTCTGGAAATCTTTGTGAAGAGGTCTTTGCCAGTTTCAATGCTAAGACGTGAATCTCATTAGGCTGTCAAGTCCGACCCGCCTTTCGATTATGTCCTGCATACCGCGTCTCCCTTCCACCATAACGTTCAAGACCCTGTTAAGGACTTCCTGGACCCAGCCATTAAGGGAACCACAGGAATACTCAAGGCAATCAAGGCCTATGCTCCAACAGTAAAGAGAGTCACTATCACATCCTCTTTCGCTTCGATTATCAATGTCAAGAAGCACGCCAAAGTGTACAGCGAGGCGGACTGGAACCCAGTGACTTGGGAGGAAGCCATGGATCCCCCTCAAACCTACCGTGCAAGCAAGGTGATACACATCCTTTCTTTGTTTGGTCTTGCTTGAATGATGTCTGACTACCTTGCACAGACGTTCGCAGAGAAAGCTGCCTGGGACTTTGTCGAGAAGGAGAAGCCTAATTTCGACATCGCAACGATCAACCCACCTCTTGTGTTTGGGCCTGTCGTGCACTACCTGAACACTTTGGAGGCCATCAACACTTCAAACCAGCGAATCAGTAACTTGATCCAGGGAAAATACAAGGACGCTCTTCCGCCGACCGCCACGTTCCTCTGGGTGGATGTTCGCGATGTTGCGCTCGCACATGTTAGGACGATAGAGGTTCCAGAAGCTGGTGGCCAACGTTTCTTTGTCACCGGCGGTTCTTACTCGAACAAAGATGTCGCGGATGTGATCCGGGAATCATTCCCTGAACTTGAAGGTAAATTGCCTCCGAAGGACGCACCAAGCGATATTCCGGCGGATGTCTATGGCTATGACAACAAGAAATCCATTGAGGTCTTGGGTATCCAGTACCGAACCTTGAAGCAGTCGGTTACTGACACTGCCAAATCACTGTTGGCCATTGGCGCATGAGGGATATGCAGGAACACAGTGTATAGATTTACAATAGACAAGACGGTGGAGCACACTATATAGTAAAGAAAAAAAAAAAAAAAAAGAACATCAATCAAAGTACGATGAATTTACTACTGAGGAAGGACAAGGCTGCATATTGTGAGGTTGTAGTTCCCCGTATCACGTGGCTTGGCGCGCCTTGGTATTGCAACCAAGTTTTCTCCAGCTTCCTCCGGAGATAGAACAACTGTCGAGACACCACACTGCCAAATGCCCGCCATGGCGACAGCCAGGCTATCCCCGACAGCAAACCTGCTGCGGAACTCTCGCCTTTTCGCTCTTCCACAAGCTTTGACGCCACCCCCGCCGCCGGCGACCTCGAGAACTGTCTTTGAGTCCGAGACCGCGACCCTTCCCCATCCTATCCGAGCGTCTATTGTCACACCATCGTCTTCTCTAGCCAGGGGAGATTGGGGCTTGAAAAGACCTCTTCCCGCCAAGACAACCTCCGAAAGATCGTCCAGGCCCGTGGTCAGAATCAATGAACTCGATACCTTCGAACACATCACGGACTTCGAGTCCGCGGCCGATCACACGGTGACCCTGGAGAAATTCCAGGAACTCCATATGCCGATGTCGCTCCCCTCGAAAGTCAATTACGCAACCAGCATCATTCCTAGACACCAGAGTCCCTTCGAGTCGCACGTGGACAACACACAAACCAGCGAAGGCCGTGAGGTGCCCGGAGCCAAACAGTTCAGACATTCCGGTCCCTGGCTTGCTGGGCAAACGGAGGCCAGGTTCCAGGCGTACTTGAAAAAGGTCCGGAAGAACAAGCCGGAACTTTTGCAGAAGCTCCGTGAATATTTTGTTGCCAAGCGCGAGGCCGAGCAAAGGAAGCAAGCACAGGATAACGGGGCGGATTTGGAGGCGCTCGAGCCTGTCGAGGTTACCGATGAAGAATTCCAGGACTATCTCAAGACACTCCGCAACAGTCCGTCTTCTCTAGGCCCCGTCGTATGGGAGCTCCTTGACCTCGCATCCCCGCCTGCTGTACCGAGTTACCGAATTGGCACCACGCACTACGTGTCCCCCGGCACCAAGCTCTCGTCGGCGGAATATGCAGCATCCGGACCCCCGAAGACACATCCCTCGGCGGGTTTGTCCTACTCTAGATCACATGCATTGATCTACAACCATCCCAAGCATGGACCTCAGGCTTATCAACGCCCAGTGGAGGCACGTATCTTGCGACCTAAGGGACGGTTCAAGGGCAAGAGCTCAAAGGCCATTGCTGGTGTTGCTGGTATTGCAGTGGAAGACCTGAATGCTATGACTTTCACGGACCAAGGCTCTCCTGCCGGCGTTGCCTACTTTGACGCATCTATCACCGGTGGTGCTAAATATTGGGTCACCCCTATCCGGGCCTCTGTTGACTCGGAGGGCAGGATTGGCCTGGCTTCTTACCGCGCTAGCGCTACTGCTAAGGCCCCTTACAACATTGATAGCCAGAAAAAGCCTGGGATGTACAGCATTTCCGACGTGGCTCGCGGCGATCAGCGCGTGGTCCCGAGACTGGATGGACAGCGGGGTCCCCAAGCGGACACTGAGGAGGTTGCAAGGAACCTCATGAAGAGCCTTAGCTCATAAAGTATTGGTGTTCCGTCCTCCGACGAGCTTTCTTCATGTTCCAGACATGTCCCTTTAGAGAGGCTTGCTGTATGATTAGGTCTTTGGATGGTAAATGTATAGTTATTTCATTGCTGTTCCTCATTCATTTGTGATATAAAGCCGGCTGCATTTCATTTCAAGCATAAATTAAATTGACTCATGAATATATCAGACACCATGCTAGGCGTGGTCAAAGTGGTTGCCCCGGTTTATGGGGGTGGTCTTGCTCAGAGCTTGGGCATCTACGGAGTACGGAGTAGTGATCTACAACATAGTACTATGTCCAACGTCTTGGCAATATATCACGTGATGTGATTAGGGTTCTAGAGCAGGGTTTGCATAAGCCACGTGACGCGCACACGGCTAAGCGAGGACGGGTAACTTTGAAGATTGAGAGACATAAGGGTATCTTGGTCGGTCTTTCGAACATCCATCCAGCCAGCAACAACCGCCAAAATGGGTCGCGTCCGCACCAAGGTGAGCAAAGCGCGCCGCCGCAGGGAAGGGAAATTATCGATTCTAATGAATTCGCCGAACAGACAGTCAAGCGTTCCGCTAAGGTCATCATCGAGCGTTACTACCCCAAGTTGACGCTCGACTTCGAGACCAACAAGCGTATCTGCGATGAGATCGCTATCATTGCCTCCAAGCGTCTCCGCAACAAGGTTAGTTCGAGCGCGATTTGCGACTGGCAGAAACGGAGGAACGGTAAACTAATTAGAACTCGTTTAGATCGCCGGTTACACTACCCACCTTATGAAGCGTATCCAGCGTGGTCCTGTCCGCGGTATCTCCTTCAAGCTTCAGGAAGAGGAGCGTGAGCGCAAGGATCAGTACGTCCCTGAGGTCTCTGCTCTGGATGTCTCCCAGACCGAGTCCGGCCAGCTCGACGTTGATGCCGACACCAAGGACCTCCTCAAGTCCCTCGGCGTAAGTTAATCCAACACTCGATGTGATGATGGTTGGAATACACGACTAACATGTTCGCGCTTAGTTCGACAACCTGAAGGTCAACCTCGTCCAGGTCTCTCAGCAGCAGGCCCAGGAGCGCCCCCGCCGCTACCGGTAGATCATTTCGCCGTTGAACGGAAAATGAAAAGTTTCGATTGTCTTCGGTCGCTCCATGGCGTTTCCATGCTTGTTCTGGCTGGCTCCCCAGCTGTCGGTTTAGCTTAGAGGCAGTTCCCGGATGAGAAATGAACACGAATTCCGTCAAACAAGGTGTCGCTGATTCCCCGACAGGGGATGATGCTTGATTGCCAATTTGCTCCCATTGTCCGGTCTCCCGGCTGGATATCGTAGAAGATTCTACGGGGTGGTTGTCTTGCGTTGACGCTGGCCTACGGAGATTCTTTCGTAGAATATCAACCCGACGTCGATCTGAGCTATCTGATGCTATCTTACCACCAAGATATCGACATTTGAGAAAAACGCCCCGTATATGCCAAGTTGCGTCATCACTGCCATATGTGAGAGCACCTAGTCCTCGTGAGGTATATATCCTTCGATGGAGCCTACCTTCTCGTCTCTGGGGCACATCTGCGGCGCTATAACTGGAATGCGTATCATTGTTCTCTTGAGCTTGGATTCTGCTACTGTAGAGAGTCGGATGGGTGTCTTCCCGTTTCATAGCAAGCTCTCCTGTGAATGAGTACCACCGTGCACAGTGAGCCTTGTGATGTTATCTACCATATCGCTTGAGTGTTGGGGCTCGTCCATGTGCATGTCACTTAGTGACTGATTACCTCTTGGATAGACACCGAGTCTCTTTCCCTAGAGACAGAAAAGATGTTGCCGTGTGCATTTTCTGCTTGTCTTTCCCACACGGGTTCCTCAGCCTGCTGGACTCGTATATACTTTTCGGCGCATTCGTTTGAGCACCATGTCTCCAGAGCGTGACGATTTCTAGATCGCGGTGCAGAATCAGCCCCTCGGTGTCTTCCTGGGCCTGGATTTGGAGCGCATGATGTAAAGCGATCCCTAGATGGCGGGGTCAGCATCTGGACGGTTTAGATATGAACCAGGTCACTGCTAAGGCCTATTAAAAGGAGGCATGGCGTCTGGCGATTCTCAGTGGGATTGGAGGGGTCTGCTGTAGCGGACGCCGCGTGAATTGACGTTATAGAGATCTTCAAAGTTGGCGATCTCGAGGACATTATCAGGAAATAGGTCCAGGAGTGGGAAGATGGTCTGCGTCACAGGTGGAGATGAAGATGGGAGTTGTGAGGTGTACTCTGTATGTAGTTGGTAGAGGCATGGATTGGACCAGGTTGAAAGTTTGGTCGGGTCGGCAGGAGGCAAACCCCGGATTCACCAGGCAGCTACGGAAGGGGGGTTGAAACAGGGCATGGCTACTGAACTGTTTCAATCTTCATCGTTCATGCAGTGAAGAGGGACGGTCACAGGGCTGCACTACTCGTGGTGGACTACCCCTGTAGTACATTGTATGTACAGATCAGCAATTGCACGGCCCCCAAGCCGCTTACATTGTCAGTGACTTCAGGGAACAACAAGTTGGCTAGCGGTGGATGGTGGGTGGCAGGACAGTCCTTTGGACCTTCTGACAATCTTATTAGCCGCCGATCGCCCCGGGGTGGAGCAGGTGTCCCGCCAGACGGTGACGCCCGTCCAAAGGAGGGCGACTGAAGTGTGAACGCTGTTCCTTACGCCCTCCGTCCGTCCTCTTCCTCTCTTCCTCCTCTCAAGTCAGTTCCCCTCCCTGACACTCCTTCCACATCTTCCTTTGTCTTCCCTTTCCCTTGTCTTACCTCCTAATTCCTGCTTTGGCGGACATTGTTGTCCCCGGATTGCAGTAAGTTCACACATTCCCTTCACTTCCCCTTCCAAACTCCAACACCATCCCCCCTTGCGGTGTTTCCGATCTCCGGAGGTACTATGCTCTGACTACGTCAGTCCACCAGGCTGACATATTACTGTTGTTATTTTTCCTGCCTCCGAAGCATACCTCCTTAGCCTTCCCGCTGTCAAAGCATATCTGCATTCTGCTGCACATGTCTCTGCATTAGATAGTCTTCAGTCTAGTGCTCCACCACCTGCAATTATTGTTCTGCCGTGTCATTTTCGTTCCGCCAGCCTCGCCCTCGCTCCGTCCCTCATCCCCCTCTTCCCCCACGTCCTCCGTGACAGGCCCCGGCTTGCCAGATGTCCAGTCCGCCATTTACGGTCAAAGCGGTCTTCGAATACACTTCGAGCCACGATGACGACCTCAACTTTTCGATCGGCCAGATCATAACCGTCACGGCGGAGGAAGATGCGGAATGGTACTACGGTGAGTATACCGACGACTCGGGGCACAAGCAAGAGGGTATTTTCCCCAAGAACTTTGTGGAAAGATACGAACCTCCGGCTCCTCCGAGGCCGACACGCCCAAGCAGACCGAAGAAGGAAGCCGATGTGGCCCCGCCCCCCGAGCCCGCTGTCGCTGTCGAGCCCCCTGCGCCTGAGCCTCCCCGCGCACCAGAGCCGGAAGTAGAGGAAACACCTGCCCCTGTGCCTCAGCTTCCTCAATCGCCGCCTCCTGCTCTAGCGTCACCTATTCGCGAGTTTCCATCTCCCCCGAAGCCGGCACCTGCCCCGGTTGCTGCCCCCGTTCCTCAGCCCCCTCCAAGTCAAATCAGTGAACCAGCTCCGAAACCATCGACCAAGCCCCCACCTCCCGCTGTTGCTGAGAAGCCGACTGGGTCGTCGTTCAGGGATCGCATTGCAGCCTTCAACAAGCCCGCTGCACCGCCAATTGCACCCTTCAAGCCAGGTGGTTTGAGCGCTCAGAACTCTTCCTTCGTCAAAAAGCCGTTCGTTGCGGCACCTCCAAGTAGAGATGCCTACGTACCCCCGCCCCGGGACCCTCCCCGGAAGATCTACAGAAGGGAGGAGGACCCAGAAGTCCAAGAGCGTGCTGCGAGAGAACCCCCCGTTTCCGAAACCCGGCCACTGTCGAGCGGAGGAGCCGAGGAAGGAGCCGAGGATCAGCCCAAACCGACAAGCTTGAAGGAGCGGATTGCTCTGCTACAGAAGCAGCAGATGGAACAAGCTGCTCGTCACGCCGAAGCCGCCCAGAAGAAGGAGAAAGCCAAACGTCCCCCAAAGAAGCGTCTCGAGTCTCATGAAGAAGCTATGCCCGCGGAGGACATTGCGGCCGAGGCAACTGCAACTGCCGAGCCTGCAAGAGACCATAGTGTTGATACTTTGAAGGCTGGTCACCCTCCGGTTCCACAGGCAGCCATGCCTCCCCCACCTGTGCAGGAGCTGGCCAGCGATGCCAATGACGCCGATGACTCGGCTGCTGCTGATACGGAGGATGCGGAAGAGACGTCTACTAGCAAGGAGGACTATGACGAGCGTGCCCGTGCGGAGACTCAACACGAAGCTCAAGCCGAATCTCAACGGATAGAGGAGCAAGGTGAAGAACATGAGGCCCCCGTTGACGAAGTGGAACAGGAAGAAGAGGAGGCAGAGGAGGAAGAAGAAGAAGAAGAAGAAGAGATAGACCCCGAAGTCAAGCGCAAAATGGAGCTCCGGGAAAGAATGGCCAAGATGAGCGGTGGAATGGGTATGATGGGCTTCTTCGGACCTCCTGGTGGTATGCCAGCTCCTCGCAAGCCGAAGGCACCCGTTGAAGCGGAGAGGCCATCAGGGGAGTACGAGAGAGCAGGCCCAACTGCTGCGCCTCCAGTTCCCATCATGGCTCTACCGGGAATGAATGTGGCCAAGCCTACTGCTACCCCAAGCGTGGAAAAGGAGGAAGAAGAGACCCTGCCGAGTCCTGTGACCGAGCAGCGTCCCCCGCATGAGGTTCCTGATGTCGAGGATGTTGTAGAGGAGGAGCCTCCTCGACGCATGTCGACCGATAGGCCACCTGCGCCCCTAGGTATGGAACGCGCCCGTGATCGAACCATATCAGTGCCTGTCTCCTAACACTGCACATACAGAACGCGCGGCTCCTCCGCCTCCACCTCTCGAAACACGACCGGTGCCACCCCCTCCCCCTCACGATGCGCCTTTGTCTCCTCCGCCTGTGCCAGGACGTAAGTTTGCCGAATATGCCATGGTCCGCGCATGCTGACGCAACATAGATCAAATGATTCCTCCTACCAAGAGCGTCGGGCCTGCTGACCCGGGCGAGGAATCGGATGATGAGCTGTCAATACATGCTAGAAACTTGTCTTTGAATGCTGCGGCGGCCGACCAGCCCTCAAACCAGCCTATTCCGGCACCCCCGATCCCCGATCACCTCGATTCTCGCCGCTCATCGACATACGAGATTATATCTCCGAGATCACCGACTCTCCCCGCTGATAAGAGACTCAGCCGCCCTCCTCCGCCAGTTCCAGGGATTCCCCCGGTGCCCGCTCAGGCTCGACAAGCTCCCCCACCACCTCCCGCCAATATCCGCCGTAGGTCAACCACCGACAGTCGGACCAGCATGACTTCACAGTCCCGCCAAGCTGGCGAGGAGGTAGAAGGCGAAGTCACCGAGTATGATGGCGACTATGACACGGATATCGCATCTGGCGCCAAGTACAAGGATGCACTCAAAGCGCATGGACGTGATTCCAGCTTCGATGAAGGGACGATGGCCGACGACCATTCTCTTCAATCTCCTCGGAGCCCACCGCAGAGTCGCCTTCCTCCTCCCCCTCCCCCTAATGCTCCCCGGGCAGTCCCGCCTCCGCCTCCCATCCAGCCCCCAAGAAGTGCGGGCAGGGCCTCGGTGGAGTCCCCTAGGGGGCCCCCTCCTCCGCCTCCACATCGCGAATTGTCCTACGGCCGTGATGAGGATGAATATGACCCGTACCGTTATTCCGCTCCACAGCATGGATTGCCTACTCCAAGGGCGCCTCCCCCTATGCCCGCTGGGCCGCCGCAGCTACCGCCCGCAATCCCGACCCAGGCTGCGGAAGAAGAGTCAGACGATTTCTATGAAGCGTCGCCGGTGCTATCACAGCCCGAGGCTTCTACCGGCCATCAATCTGAAAAGCGTGCCTCGATGGCGCCCCCGCCTCCCACGTTGCCTCCACCCACACCGCGAAGCAACCGTGCGTCGCTGGATATCCCGAGAGCGCAGCCGAGCATGCGGCGATCCATGGATGTCGCTCGCCCGTCCATCGACCAAGGATACATCGCCACGGACGTTGACTTGGCAGAGAACACACTCTGGTGGACTCAGCATCACACTCCTCCGCCGGTATTCCAGAACCGCCGGGACGTCCTGCTGGAATTCGAGGAGTCCAATTCTTCCAAGCGAGGCGGCAAGACTATGGTGACCAAGGACATCTACGTCCTTTTCATCGATCACTCGCAAACGGTGATCACGGTGAGCTTCGATCCTCGCAATCCCACCGACGCCGCCTTCGAGCAGCGTCACGAGGCTCCTCCCATTCAACCTCGCCAGGACCAACTCGAGAACGCCCATCTGCAGATCGGCACTCGCATTGCGTCTGCTGTCAATGCCATCCAGAACACGACGGTTGCGGATGGCACTCCGTTTGGGCTTGTGCAGCACTTACTCAGTCCCTTGTCAGATGCTCTCCTGCCGGTAGGCACGCGCGCCTATGGTGCATTGGTGTACTCGAATCTGGCCAATGCGTCGGTGCAGCAGAACGACGAGATCCGCGCGGGCGATATCGTCAGCTTCCGCAATGCGCGCTTCCAGGGACATCGCGGCACGATGCACCAGAAGTACAGTGCGGAGGTCGGCAAGCCAGACCACGTGGGTGTTGTGGTTGACTGGGACGGCACAAAGAAGAAGATCCGTGCGTGGGAGCAGGGTCGTGAGAGCAAGAAGGTCAAGGTGGAGAGCTTCAAGCTGAACGACCTGCGCAGTGGCGAATGCAAGGTATGGCGGGTGATGCCGCGCAGCTACGTGGGCTGGGAGAAATAAGCAGCAAGGGTTCGGTCTAGCTGGGTGAGGGACAGGTGGAATCTCCTCTTTCTTGGTGTCCATGGACCAACAAGGCCCGAGGGACAGCCAGGCAGTGAGCTGGATGAGTAAATGATTTGATTCTGGTATATCTAATTGTTACATGATGCAGGGGCTCTGTCACACTTGTGTGAAGTGCTCCGATCTTACATTCTGTTGTATGTACCTATGTTTACCATTGTGCTTAATCTACTGCCGATGGATGTTGTTATTATTAGGCATGGTGCGTGATTGCCAATTTATTGTGATATATGTATACCTGTGCTCTAGCAACCTACTTGTACTCTTCTTGATATACGGAGTACGCCGTCGATGTATATACCTGCCTTAGGCACCAAAGCGGCAAGTCAGGCGCGTGGCAACACCCATTTCCTCATCGGGACCTCCATCTCCATCTCACTCATTTAACCACCACCACTTCCACACCACCACCAATTCCTCCATCATCCACAACCTCAGACATACACAGCTCGCACCACCAAAATGGGCGGCGACCTCAACCTCAAAAAGTGCGTCCCCCCTTCCCTTCCCCCATCCCATACAACCCTCCCCAACCCCAACCCCAACCCCCATCCCAAAACCTAACAAGGCAAACCAAACAGATCATGGCACCCCTCCCTCCTCCGAAACCAAGAGCGCGTGTGGGCGGAAGAAAAACGCGCTCTCGAGGAACGGAAACGCATCGACCAACTGCGTCGCGAACGGGACGAAGAGCGGCAAATCCAAGAACTCCAACGTTTGCAGGAAGATTCAGGGAAACCGAAACAGATCCAGCGCGTGGATTGGATGTATCAGGAACCGTCGGGTGCGGGGGGCATGTATGGGGAGGAAATGGAGGGGTATTTGTTGGGGAAGAGGAGGATTGATGGGATTTTGTTGAAGAGTGGGGAAACGGAGGGGTTGAAGAGGGGGGCGGAGGTGGGGG